TCTATGCTCCTATCATTCTGGCGCATTTCCTTCTTTAGTATGGATGATTAATGCTGTTCTCTCTATTCTAAATTCATCGAACACGACAGGAATGGTGAGCATGGTATACGCTGTAGATGGAGCGTGAACTGGTTGCAAACAGTGAAACTCCCTAGTTTCGACTTCCAGTTTTGATGAATGAGCTGCTATTAATTTTCTGGCCCTACAGTACCTGTCATTTTCTGCTATTTGGGCAACCAACCCGGTCGTCCGAATGCCTTTTGCTGTCTGCTTCATTCTCTTCAATCAAGTGTTTTATATCACCCCTCTCCGATTCAACCCAGCATAGGATAGTGTGTTTGTATAAGGGGTTGTCACATGGTGTTATTTTCATGACCATAGCAACGAATTATACCAATTGATCTCGTGTACACTTGTTCGACCAGGTGTCAACTAGCAGACTTTTCAACACACTACAGCACTTGTTCTCTCTGTAGACGACATTCTTTGGACTGATTAACATACTGCATTCCACTGGCATGACTCAGGTCGCTAATCTGTTCTCCATCTATTTTGTTGGGTAGACTAAGCACCAAGGTTTGGGTTCGTCTGTTGTTTGATTTACCATACGCAAGGACACAATGTGCATAATGTGATGATACCGAAGGTTTGAGTTACTGATTTAATCGCGACAGATCGGTAAAAATACTTGTATCGGCTTTCAATCACTTCAGTCTTTGGCTGACTCAGTTATTTTGTTGAGTGCTCTTCGCCTGGGGAAGACACGGCAACTGATGTTTGTTGCTGCTACCGGCCCTTAGCCTCAAGGATCACAAGCCTGCCTTGTATGCCGAGGGCGCTGGTTTGAGCCTGCGTAGGAACCTTCCGACCATTGGTGGTTTCCCGGTAGCGAAGCATTGGTACTATGTACCGGCATACTGCTGATGCTCTCTTCTTCTAAGAACTGTGATGGAGATTATTGAGAAGCAGAAGCATCTGCTTGTGACATTATCCATCATCACCGCACCAATCATTGGATATCCGAGAGGTCGGTGAACCTGTTGGAATCTAGAAAACACCTCCCGGCTGGCTCTGAACACAATGTGTCCAGACGGGCTACTAGGTGTGAACTAAAGCAGAGTCTACGTGCTGACAAGGAAGCCTTGTGGACCAGCCGGGCTCAAGAAATGGGGGAGGCGGAAGCAGTAGGCAATTACCGCAAGCCCTTCCAGCTAATCCGCACAACTGGTATCAGAAAACCAGGCATCAGTGAGACAATCAGGGACAGCGCGGGTGCGCTAATACACAATAAGGACCTCTTCCTACTCAGGTGATGCAGGACAAGCCATGGACGGTTAACTTGGAGCCTCCGTCGGAGGCCGAGGTCCGAAACGCGATCATAGCCCTTAATCGTTTTCGTGCCGTTGGCCCGGATTCCCTCCCACCTGCACTATTTAAGGATGGAGGTGAAGTCCTCTGCAAAGCGCTGACATGCCTATTTGAACGTATCTGGATGGAAGAGAGTGTCCCGACTAATTGGAGCGAATCGACTATAGTGGCAATATACAAGAACTGCAGTCGCACAGACTGTTCTAACCACGCCAATTGTGACAAAACTATTGGCCTCGATTATCGGTCGTCGCCTCACTGCAGAACGGGAATCTCGGATTAGGGAAGAGCAGGCCGGTTTTGGCCCAGGGCGTGGCTGTATAGACCATATATTCACTTTGCTGCAAGTGCTAGAGCAGCGCCACGCATACCGCAGATCGACAATAGCTGTGTTCCTCGATTTCAAGAGGGCGTTCGATTAGGTCGATCGATCGATTCTGTTCGAAATACTTGCTCGGAAAGGTGTTCTTACGAAATATGTGAACATCCTTCGTGCTCTATACTCGAAAATTACAGGCCGCGTCAGGGTCTACGGTGTCTTATCGGATAGCTTTCCGACCACAAGTGGCGTTCGTCATGGTTGTCCGATTTCCCAATTTTTGTTCAATTTCGTCGTGGATTTTATTATGGAGTGTTCACTTGGGGAATCTCACGATGTAGGCATTGAAGTGCTGCCTGGTGCTAAAGTTAGTTGATCTTGATTATGCGGACGATATTGTCTTCCTTTTCGATGGTATTGGGGCGGCACAAGCAACCCTTAATAACCTGTCCAGTGATCCCATTATTTGGTATGCACTTCGCACCCTTAATGTGTTGCTGCAGGACCAACAGCCACTTGATGACCCCTTGACGCTTGCTAACGAGGAACTCGAGGTGGTTGATCATCTCACTTATCTTGGCAGCTGCATCAGCAATGATGGGCGCATAGAAACTGACGTGAACTCACGCATTGGAAAGGCCAGAGCTGCCCTCTTGAACCTGCGGCATCTTTGGCGACAGAAGGGAGTTTCCCTCCGTCTGAAAGGCCGTGTATACAAGACCACAGTGAGGGCCGTTCAGCTCTATGGTAGTGAAACTTGGCACCTTCGGTCTGAAAATCTTAGGCGCCTTCAAGTCTTTGATCATCGTTGTCTGCGACGCATTGCTGGTGTCGGATGGCACCAGCGTGTCCGCAACGATGATGTGCGTAGGCGAGTACTAGCTGGTGATACTCATGTTAGCTCTTTAGAGCAACAGATAGCGCTGAATAAGTTGTGTTGGCTCGGGCACGTGCTACCTATGCCTGGTCACCGCTTGCCTAAGAGGGCAATGTTCAGTCTACCAAGTGTAGGGTGGCGCAAGGCTTGAGGTGGACAGAAGTTGACTTGGCAGTGGGAAATGAAGTCACTGACGACCAAACTGGGTGCCGTTGGTCCGTCTCGTCTTCCAAACTGGAGTCCATGTGACTCGCCTTGTGCTTGGCTCGAGACTTTACAGGACATGGCTCGCAACCGACACCAGTGGCGCGTCTGCTGCCGCCTCCTAATTGGATTGTCTGTTTAAAGTGTGTTTGGTGCTGAGTTATCTGCGGGGTAACGGTTGATTATGACGTGTGTCAGTGAAAGCCGCAAGGAAGCTGTCTCGCCGATGCCGCCTTATCTTTGCACGATAGCCAGCAGTTTGTGACGGTATGTTGTCTACACAAGGTGTAGGCGCCTTGATCCTGAATGTTTGCTTAGGGCATTAAGGTTTTCAGGTAAGTCCCCCTTCTCTCCCTCTTGTTATTCTTTATTTCATAGATCCTCATGGTTGTATGGCAGCGAAGCATCAGTTCAAATGGCTGGTGTACTGCTGCTGATGACGATGGTGGTGGTTTTTCTTGCTTTTTGTAACTGCCTTGTTTAGTTTCGGCCGCGTACTGCTCTTTCGTCAACCACTATCATCTCAACAATGGGGAAACCTCGTTTGTTAGGTGAGTGACATGTACATAATTTGCATTGTGGTTATCTCCTGTGAATTCCCATTTGCAAACATTGATACAAGCAATGTTTCTGTTTCTTGGAACCTGAAAAACTAAGCTACTGATGTGATAAGTTAACAACTTATCATGATCCATTCTCTCAACTCTGCTCTACCCGTTAGCAGTTTTTAAGTCATTATCGTTCTGAAGACAGACGCTATGGTGGCTTTAGTTTCTCAATATCTTGCCTAAGCTATGTAACGTTTTACAGACACGTCCTTCATATTTATTAAAGGCTATGTATTCATAGCTTGGACTGTGCCAAGATGGCCTTTCGATCGCCCTTATTATATAATTGCAGCCAACTGATCTGCTGCAATGTATGTACCGCAGTCGCAGTGCAGTTCTTTGTACGCTTTGTGTAGTGTGACGGGAAGGTTCTCACGGCAGCCTACACACCCTTTTCCGTTTCCTCTTCTTTTCACCGACCATGTTACACTTAACTTGTTGGTTTGACTACAGGCGCGTTTTTACGACAGTAATATGTCTGGATTGGTTCACACAGCGTACCATCGCTGTGCAACTTAGTACATACTATAATAAATGATGGATGGGTACACGAAAGTAGTCCTAGATTACCCTTCACCGATGTAGTTTACAGATTACATTGGTGAATCGCATTACGACACATTGGGGCAAATAGGCAGTGACTGCTTTTCTAAGGACCGTGGATTGCGCATGAGTTCACGGAAATCACTCCAATTGTCTCTTTGCTTAAATAGGCATACCTTTTCATGTAATTAGGGCTCTCCTTATTGCAACCTTTGCCTTTAATTGATGACAATGCAAGAGTGTTCTTGTCATTTTCTGCTCTTATTTGTGCTTTTTACCACGCGGTCCTTAAAAGTTTGATGCTTATCCTTTTTTAAATCTTGAATAGAGATGTGATGTGACACTTTCTTTAACCGGATTCATCGGGTGGGGTTTCGTCAGGTAAATTCTGACCATCGGCACGATGACTGCAGGCTGGTCGCCATTGATCTTTACGCTTTGTTGCTTCTCACAATGCCTACTCGTCCTACTTATTAAGCATGGAGACACCGGGACCATCTGCCGCATTTTAATTGTTTTGTAGATAGTCTGCTTATGTTTGCCAACATGCCAGCATCCTGATTTCCCTGCTTGATTTGTGGTTCTATCCGTCGTTTTACGCAGTTTATTGGCTTTCCCTAATTTTCTGTACATTTGTGCATTTTTAAACCGTTCCTTCGCAAACACACATCGTGATACTACTAAGCATTTCTGTCACCTTGCGCTGCTGACTAATAATCAGGACACGACATTGCAATTCGATTTAGATTACATCTGCGGGCTTATTGATCCTGACCGGGATCCATTCTTTATATGCATGTACTAATGCTGTCCTGTCCGAACGACACGAATCGGCACATTGCGTCGGTTCTGCTTTCCACCACTCCAACAGGAATTAAGTGAGGTGACGCTGCAAACTGCAGACAGGCGATGAATTTTTACTTGTGCGATTACCGTGTGGTTGTTTCACTGTCTATATACACACGATGATTGCGACAGAAGTGGGCTGCGATGCATTCTCTTTTCTACAGTACTGCTAATGTTGTGGTTATTAGAATACAGTCGATGGCTCCTTCTGATATCGGTTTACCTTCTTTTTCAGTCTTCTCGCCGGCCTCACTGCGATTCCCATCATGACAACACTTTTGATCTCATTTCTTTATGGATTGGCTTGCTTTCAATTGATCAGTCTAAACGGTTCATTCCTCAACACTCTATTCCCGTCCGTCTTTTCTGGTGCGTTTGGTGGTTGCGCTATTTGTGCACTGCTTTTACACGTAAGTTGCTCAAACTTAAACTTTCTATGTATAGCATAGCAGTTTTCGCCGAACCTTGACCAATCCACAAATGTCTCTTTGTTCTAAACTGCATACAAGCCGAGCTTTTTGCCTGAGCGCTCGTTTACCGTTATAGCAGAGAAAAAGTTGCATGATGTAGTTTAGAGCGCATTGAGGGCTTAACTGCTTATGAAACTTCTGTCGCGAACTGTGCGGTTGCGGTCAACGCTACTGATGCCGGGACAACATCATGAACGTAAGCCAATATTGATGATGTCCGTACATTACCACCCTCAGCACTATACTCTCAAGACGGTGGTACTAGACTGTACCTACTGTAGCATTTTTCAATCCTTGCGACAAACCACGCCGTTTCATCGTTGGATGGATATCGGTGAATTTCCAGAAACTCGATCACATTCGTTGGCTCTACGATCGATTACCTCCAACGCGTGTACTATCAATTCATGCTATCAGGCATGTAACACACTGCATTTTGCACAGTTAAGCCCACCGAGAGGTCAGTGGCCGAATTAATGATTATTAGTATAGGTAACTGCTAATCCTCATTGTACCAAAACGGTATATCGAAACTTCCACTTTTATTTCTCCCCACTGGTACTAGAGTTCAGCAATTGCATTTGGTTAACAAAGAAAACAGTGGTGAATTTATCCTTTATTTCAGTTAGAACATATATGATCGCTACAACGGTGATGACAAATTCAAATGTGAAGTAACTTACGATCAAAGTGCCCGCACTTTGGAGTATTGGGTTAATTGTCACCTGGTGGACATTTGGACTGTTTCTACCCATTGGACAACTAGTTTGACTTGCAATTTGGTTGTTCCACATATTCACAGCCGATATAAGCAGCACATACTTCACCATAACGCGGTTCAGTTTATTTCTCCTTTTTCCTTTATTGGCGGATTATGCCACCAGAAATTTGCGTCAATTATACACACAGTGCTAATTATAACAATAATAATGATTCTGTTGCGTGCGATTGGCTGTTCCATTAATAGGGACAGATCATTATGTGCAATTAAGATGCCATGCATGATTAAAGTGCGTATCCTATCGCGTCTTTGATTCCGACGCATTATGAGCGCGCTGCTTTTATTGGTGATGTAACTGTTTTTTTATCTGTAACTGTTTCATATTCCTACTGGCAATCTTTTCAATGTCAATTTTCCTGGTGGAGGCATAATCATTATTGAGCTCTATTCAGAATACTCAGGTTTACACCTAACGGTGTCCGGCTAGATATTCACCTGGGATGCAATTTTTGTGGATGTTTACTGCGGGTCTATGCTGTAAGTCACGTTGTCGGAATGCAGTTAACAGCGAAATAGCTGCGTCCCTGTGGCGTTGGAGCGAATTTTTCGGATAACCGTCATCTTTTCTTAGCTTGCATTCGATGAAATCGGACATGTTCTCCTAAGCGGTTACATGCTTGTAATCAGTGACGCACACCACGACCATATTCTTACATGACCCTGTGTCATCAAAGCACCACAATAGTTGGTCCACTGGTTGCTCTGGTTCTTGCCTCCATCACCAATGTGGCGGTAGTTCCTCGCGAAATCTCCTTATTACTGCTGTGATTGATGATTGTTTTACCCCAACTGCCATCTCTGTCATATGTCCTTTGTTTATATCGATGATTCACGCTTTGTATGCTTCTTAAATTTTTCTCCGGTTACTTGAGGTTTACGTTCGGAACCGTAGCTTATCTGCGGTGCTTATCAAAAATGACGTGCATCTCTGCGGCGCATCACATTTCCAGGGTTCGCATTTATGCCCTGCTATTCGCAACTGCATATCCCTATAGTCGTCGCGTACCCACTTCGTACGTGATAGCATTCCTTAGTAACCTACTTTCAACGCATTTCTGATTACTCATTTGAACAGGATTCTGTTTATTTTCTGTTCTGTCTCTTTCCTAGTTGCTTCTGTGATAGTAAACTAGGTGTCGTGCAAAGAGCGCATCATGGGTGTGCTGCAGTATTTTTCATGCTTAACTTATTTGTGCATCCATCTCGTAACAACAAAAATAGGCGTTTGACCCACTGCCATTTTAGGTTCTGGCAAGTTATTGCTCTATAGTTTTCACTTTTTTGCGCAGTGCTACATATTCCCAGTTGTGCTCCATTTTATAGGTTATCAGATATATGCACGTTTATTATTTTGAACTTGGAATCTGAACGATCGCTTTATTCTATCAATCAATACGAACAAATTAAGACATTACTGAAAGATTCTCTCATGTCAACATTGATGTACACATGCATCTCACGGACGCGGTTGTTACTTTAGTTATCTTATCCAGACATTGTCCTCTTCCAAATGGCACAGATCTTGTAGATTCATAGTCTTTTCCTTAACCACCCACATCGGATGACATCTTGCGTACTTGCAACGTTACACCTTGAGATATCAGTTAATTGATTTCGGTTGAACATCATTTAATGCTTTGTGGTTTTTTGTAGGTTTGTCGCAGCTAGACTCAGGCAGGCAGCCACCACATATCCAGGAAAGCGCTAGACGGCGGTTTCATCCTATCGAGACTCGTCAGTAGCGCGCATCCGCCGAATCCTACCTGATTCGAAGCCGCGAACTTACTATTGCGAGCCAATGACTTACGCGACTGAGCCATATATGACTGCATCAATCCGCCATGACCACGATATAGCGTGGCTCATCCTTTCAATAAATCCCCCCAACTAATAATTAATAATCCATAATCGCCTTAGCAGCTTACATGCTACCTCGGCTGGTGGCGGATTGCAAAGGAACTCGTTGCTCTGGGGACCAGCCCTGTCCTTTGCATGTTCGTAACGTGCATGGGCGATGGCGGATGTGCCGCGCTATTTGCAAGGTAGATATCGCTTATGACTGTCCACTGCCGTCACTCATGGCTAGCATAAGTCACTGGCCCGCAAGAGTAATGTGTTGGTTTCGAATCCGGCAGCATTTAGCGGTTGCGTGCTACTAACGCGTCCCGATAAGATGAAATGGCCGCGTAACGGTTTCCTAGGTGCGTGGTGGCTGTCTGCCTGAGTCTAGCTGTGACTAATCTTCACAAAAACCCAATAAACTCTCCTTCTATTCAGTAGCTTCATGGTTTAGTTGCGACCGGTGGTGAAGCGGTTCAGGCATCTGACTTATAGTCCGCCAGTCATCGGTGCTGTGCTGCATGAGTGCGCACGATTATGTGGCACCTCAGTCACCAGACAGTCGATGAGTGTTGCTTAGCTTCGAATGGCGGGTACAAGGTGCGAATGCGATCTGTTTACTTCCATACATGTTTCACGTCTGTACATATGCGTTGTGTGTGAACCGCTCAGAAATATACTTAACAACATTAGCGGTCCCACTGACCGTACGGCAAAGGCTGACTTCAAAGTCAACCGAGGACACGATTGAGGTTGCGTGTCGCCATCCAAGACACACGGCGGGTGCTCCAAAATCCGAAAATCAACTTCTAACCGATGTGTCAAGCACCGCTCGCGGAGTTCAATGGCCTAGGGATCATGGCGATTGCTACCAATAACTATGCGACTAATTCCACTCCCAACTCGGCTATCTCTACCTGATGAGTCGAAACCGTCAGTGGTGGAATGCAGGGATTGAAGGGAGCCAAACCGCAACCCTCCAGCGTCAGCGCTATTCTATACCAATCTGGTGCTTTTCGATCCCTGCTTGTGATAAATTCTGAATAGTTGAGATGGCTCTAAGCGTCATCTTTTGGCGTTTCACTTTTGTGGTCAAAGCGAACTGCTGGCTTTGTGGCTCAACGATCTTTTCTTTTTACCTGATAATTGGTTCGTCCACTGTGGAATCTTTAGCATTATACTGCGTGAATCAAGCGATGGTATTGTCATCTGGGACGAAATCTGTTACTTAGGGGCTATATAACGATGATCAATCATCATACTTATTCCTACATAAGATTGGCCGTTAATTGATGTGTTTTTAGTCTAGCAAAGTGATCGTCAACGTGGGTTGTCCATCGAATTCCATCACCGGTTTTTGTCGCATAGGATTTTGCGCACTTGTCTCGTTGAGGAGGCAGATATACATTCTGATGGTTCACCCTTAAAATGGTGTGTATCATCGATATCGGCCCAGGATTTTGCCTGAACTAATCTGCGTTCGTACATTGATGTCAACTTATTCGACTTGCGTACTTCAAACCTACGTAGACGTGACAGTGCCCTAACTTTAACAGTTTCTGTCCTGTGCATTACGAACGATCTCTGTTTAATACAACTTTTGCTAGAGCTCGCCAGATTTTCTGTGAGGAAATAATCTGTGAGCTGCAGCGCATCTTCTCGACACTACATGAAAACGGATATCCTGAGAAGTTCATTGCACGGTATGCGAACGCAAAAATTAGGAACGAACGGGTGACCGGTGTCCCTAAGAAAACATTATTCATTACGCTACCATTAAAAGAAAACTAAAGTGAGCAGATTTCGACAGTGTCTGTCAATTCATAAAAAAGATGTTATTGCACTGCTGAGCTTCTGGTCTTACATCAGGTTAAAAGGTTACTGTTTAACTCCAACCTGGACAGATCAGACTCTGGAGTTACCGCCTCATTCACTTATCTGTTTCATTGTACTTGCAGTAGCAAGTGCGTCGGCGGAACAGAGAGGAGACTGCCCACTAATATTTTAGAGCATATTTCACCAAACTTGGTCCCGTATACTCCGAATTAATTACATCAAAAACTCCCTACTTTTTATGAGTACAACGTACCTGGCTACTCCACGTGCGGGAACCCATATGATTCATTTGGGATAACCAAGCGACAAGGATTCGCTTGCCGGCTCTAGTTTACCCTAGACTTCTGCAATTAGACGGCTGAAACTCACTTTCTGCAAACGAACCGAGTTTGTCGCTAGTTTCGCTTTTCATTGGTGAGGCTGTAGACCACATTCTTCGAACTGAAATGCAGGCCAGCATCAGATGAATGTTGACCGCCGTCAATTCACCAATGTTTTTACACCCTTATTGTCTCTGCATACAACCCGACCTTTCCACTATTTGTGTGAACAGCTGACGAAAATACGCGAAATAATTGAATTCCGATTATCCTGTTGTAATTTTGTTCTTTCCACTTTGTAGCGCCGCTGTGTGTCAGCGTGTTAATGGCCTATAAACACCTTAAAATATCCGTTCATTTTATTCACTGCGTCCTAACTTTGGTGGGGACGAACCTCATAATTGAATGGTGTATTGCCGAGGCGCATTTCCAACGTGAAACGGAAACCGAAAGCCAACTAACTATGAATATTGCATGTAGCTAGTGACCACGTTGATTCATGACTTAGCCTTATTGAGGTGAACCTAATTCTTCGCCATCGATGTGCAGCTTCTGATATTGACCGTTTCATAGAGAAAAGCAATTATTTTTGCATTTCAAGACAGTTGTTGATAGTCAAATTTGAGCCAGTTTGCAATCTCAACTTGTTTGAGATCTGAGGAGTCTATAACCGTATGATTGACACCAAAAGTGATTTCATCTGTGCATCTTATTATGGTGATTCACCAGGAACAGGTGCTGGTTTAACATAACTTACGAATAGAAACCATGACAGTAGCACTGTATTTATGATTGCATTTTGTGTTTAACAAGGGAGAGCCTTGCGGCCCTTCGAGAGAATAGGTGCGTTTGGCGAAATATCAACTCAGCAGTAGAATTAGAGATGTCTAAGTAGATTGTGTAGCAAAAGCCCGCTTGTAGCTCAGCTGACAGCTTGTTATACTTCAGTTAACATACTAATGCGAACTTGAACTCTGAACGCACAAATCACACACTTGTTGCTCGCTTGGTTTTGGATCTGCAGTTTTTCAATTGACATATGTTGTTTATCAAAAGGACATCTCATAGATCGCTACTGCTGCCGGAATGCATGCGGTAAATCGATTTTTGCTTTCTTTCTTTTTAATCACTTCTCTATTAGGATGCTACTGTATTCATCAATTCAAAGCGTTTTCACTGCGCTAACTGAGCTGACCTCATTATCCATTTCGCGTTATCCTCTCACCAGTAATGTTTGTATCCATACTTTTCGGTTGGTACATACCATTCTGTGAACCAAGTCACTCATCGATTCTTAACTTCTGTTGCAGACACGCGTGTGTTGCGGGTTCTTGTGTTCTTTGTTCTGTTCTTTGCTCTGATTTTCATGCCACATCAAGGTTACAAAACTTCATCATGCCGTCTCAGGTCTATTTCGCTAGTTTGAGCCCTATTTATGGTGACCATTTCATAAACGCGAGAGTGTATCTTTGACTGAGTATCTCTTCTTTCAGATTTTCCAAACCACCATGGATTATTGGCTTCTGTTCTTCACGATCGTCTATGCGACATGCGCCTCACAGCTTTGGTGTGAACCACAGCTCCAACACGGTGGCATACCTGTTGCCCCTAGTCGATTCCCAATGGATCGATTTGCAGATAATGCTCTTGAACCAAATAAGACCGCTTTAGTACTCACCACACGCGTTCGCGTTCGTTTAAAACTCATCTTGTAAGTAACCGAAATGGATCTGTTTTCTCATCCGATGCCAGTTTAACTGTTTGCTCTACTTACTTCATTTGTTGCATCGGCATTGATCGATCTCAGTTGCGGTTCATTTAAGTCCGTCCTCAATATTGCAACTCACTACTGGGCTTGTTGGCCACTAGTTTATTAGTTAATCAGGGCTTGCGTCTCTTATAACAAAGTTAATTAAGGTCACCCATAGTGTGTTTGGTTCAGTTTGGTTACACTGTTTGGTTTACAACCCACGGTCCTCTATTCGAGCCCACGCAGATGCGAAGTGTCCCATGCCACGTGCAACCATTACCCCTTGTGTAATAGTTGAGCATTAGTGCAAATTCCGGTATATTAATGGTGCCCGAAATGTATCCTCATAATGCTTTCGTTTTTCAGTATACATGCAAAAGTAATATAAGTTACTAGCCCTTTCCTACTTACTTGTAATCGAGGATATGTGTGAATATTTTTCTACTTTGCTCACTAAAATCAGTTCTCTGAATTTCGTGAGTCGATTAATCGAGTTGTTTGGTAGCATTTTAGGAGTAGTCTTAAATTAACGAGGTGCCCTTCCGATCTATCTGAGTATATGTTTTTGTGCCCTACCTTCTAATTCCAAGCTGTGCATTACTCTCATCCTGTAACAACGAACATGTGTATCGTTTCTCCATACGTCTCAGCCTTCTTTTGGGGTCATTGAGTGTTGGCCTCGCGCTGCTACTGCAGTTCTCTCGAATCGACAAGACTGTTTATCCCAAGACTTCGGTCGCACCTTTTTTGGCCGTCGCCATTTTCCTCCTGGGCCAGCTCTCTACTGGCCGTCTCCAGCGCATCCTCATGGATTCTCCACAGCGCAGTCGCCACATGCACAGCTCCCGTTCTGAGAACTGTTCGAAGGTATGTTTTTCCTGGTTGCATGGGCAAAATGGCAGCACAGTTGGCTTTACGAGTAGTACCACAAGTCTATAGCCATACAGCTCGTGCGGTCACTCCGTATTTAATTGGACACCAAGGATATTTTTCTTAGGTGATCGGCAGGTACTGTCAGATTTTAGTCACTCTTTTATTGAAGAACCGAAAACATCCGAGATTTCGTTCACCTCAGTATATTACACTGACTTCTATTCCCCATGGTACTTGCGTCCTATTAGGACCTATCGTTTTTCCGCTCATCTTTGATGTCCTTTTTGATGTACACCGCTTGTTTCATCTTGTTGCTAATTTTGACCAGTATCACTTGCCTCAACGGCGACTAGATGCCTCATAGTATCGAATCTAAGGCGTCTTTCTGTGTTCTTCCACGGTGATCCTATTGGTGATTACTAAGATCCCTTCATCTCTTGACCGTTTTCCACCGTAAAGTATTCTTCCTTTAATATCCTCCCTTTCATGTTGATAACCACTGCTATGGAACAGGTGCATACCGTTTTTCGATCAATCATTACTCGGGCATTGCATATTTGTTGTATTCTTTCATGCTGTCCATCTCGACGGGACTGATTCTTAACGTGCTGCAATGGTTTGTGTACCCTGTGACCCTTTAGGCTACGCTGGCTGGCACTTTCCGGTTGTATCCAGAGGCATTCGTACTAGACAGGTCAGTGAATTCGAGCCAGACGAACTCCGTCTCTGCAGGAGGTTGGGGAGTGGTCGATGACCCTCTTTCTTTAGAACCTAGCTTTGGTAGACAACAGGTTTAAAGGTTATAAACTCATAGCTCGATTGGCATAGGGCACGAGTGTCACTCATTGTCTCTGACGGTGGGAGGGCACCTTCGGGCGCTCAATCCGTAACTACTTCTCGCATCAAGCCAGGCAGTTCCTGGCCAAATTGATGCAAACCCGCCCTCTTCCACCTGCGGCTGGCCGTGCTTGTAGATGTGTAACTTGCTATAGTCTGAAATTATTTGTGAATTAATCTGTGTGTGACACACCTGAAGCAGATCCCAACGAGTCTCCACAATCACACTCACGAGCTGCGCTTTCTCCCCAGTGCCTTGTGGGTCGGGTCATTGAGCCTAATGCTCCGGGTGATGTCACTCAATCGAACCTCCATGTACTTCATTAGCTTATGGGTCAGACTATTGGGTCAGAGGTTAGAGGCAGTGCACGTCTAGCAGAGTCCCCCTTTCGATTCGATCAGCCGGAGAGTATTATCTGCACTCTTGACCCCGTCGATAGTACTCCCTATTTTTCTTTTTGTTTTTCTCCCTCTCAACTCTTTTCTTCCCTGTCTGTTAACCAAGAGACGGCCGCTAACCTCACAGTTGCTGCTTTTGCTACACGTAACTCATTCATCAAACCAAGGTTCAAATCGGCAAACATTTATCACTAACTCATTCTCCACTCACGGTATTGATGTGTGTTGTATGTTCAAAAGACTCATAAAGCTCGTGGCGTCGAGACGAAACCTCCACTCCCTGGTTCCCAATCGGCTTATTATAACCGCACTCTTCATCCTTCCGGCGATACTAAGTCGAAGATTCTAGTTATTTACGGTGTTAGTCTTGCGCCTAGCAAACATGCTGAATACAATCTATTTAACTGGATATCAATGCATTGCTGCATTTGTGCGATTCAACTCCAAACACCTCTCGGGGTTAATAAGCACCGTCTGAAAACAAGGTACTTTTCCATCGGTTCGGTTAATGCCCCACTGACTACAGTTCGGAGAGTATCAAAGACAGTTTCTATCGTCAGCTCTCGTCTCTTCTCCGTGTGGTAAAATTAATGACACGGTAACTGCTGCTGGTGAAATGAATGCTCCAGTGGGTCGCTTGTCGATTTCGGTACGACACCTGGGAGGCCACTTCGGAGTTGATGCACTTCAACATACAGTGATGATCGTTTCCTTCAACTATGTGCCTACCACAACATTTCTAATAGTAGCACTCCCTTCTAGCACAAACGTTCACATTGTGTCACTTTGTGCCCACCGATTTCTTTGATGACCGGGATCAAAATTGGCCATACTGCCACCAGCAATAGATACCGCACCTCAGTCCCATGTTGTCGGTCAATTTAGAGTATGTGGATTCAGATAATGCCCTAGTGAGCGCATACCTGGTTCTCATTCTTCCCGCTTCAAAGAAGTACCTAACTCTTGAACCTATCTCTTATAACTTGAACTTGCAATCCGCAGTTCAATAACGTGAAGGCAAACTGGCCCATCAATTGTCAGTGATGAATGATGTTGGAGAGCCGAATGCTGACTGGAATCATCTCAAGTGTACCATTGAGAATAGTTTTGGCACATGCGGTGCACCAAACTTGAGACTTCCTGACTGTGAGCAGATCTTTATGGCATCGTTCCTTATGTTCGAAACACGGAAACATATTCTGTTGGGTATTGAGGTTCCGCGTGTCCTCAATACCCTGACACGACGATTGCCAAGAGTTCTTCGAATTGACCGGGAACGTTGGTTTTTGGCAGGGTCCCATGTTACGGGGAACAGCTGAATGCTGTTCTAGCTCATCCGGAACACGGGTACAAAAAAGTCTTTAGTTATTGAAACAGTAGCTGAGAAATTTGGACGGTTGATTCATTCTTAGGTGCGTCGACTAGCCCATTGGGCGGCACATTTCGAAGACCAGTTTAGCTGGGTTACTGCAACACTACCGATTGCCGACTCACCTGGAGCGAACTGGGAAACTTATATCGCACCTCCCGCATGGGGTAGATTCTAAGTGAGCTCGCCGTGTTGAAAAGATACCATGCTCCTAGACCCATCGATTCCTTTCCATTTTTGCTTAAAGATGGAGTTGACTCTTTGTTGACTGGAATTGTTGCTTTATTTAACACTGAGCTACTAACCGGTTGCTTTCAAACTGCCCTGCCCCCTCTTTAAAAGTGGGCTAGCGTACTTGTGCCATAATTATCTCAGCATTAGCCTTCTTTCTATTGCGTTTAAGCTTTTCACGGGTATCATTCTTCCACCACTCATTGATCCTAGGGGGAACCGAATCGCTAGAAGTCAGACTGGCTTTTGCTCTGAGGGTAGTTGCATCGACCGCTATTTACTCTCCGTCAGGTGTTAGAACAGATACGCTTGCAGACGAGTGATAATATTGGTTTTCCTTGTCTTGAAAGCCGTCTTCGACCCTGTCGATCGATCCAGCTTGTGGCACTGCCTATTCAGTAAACATTTGGCCGCTTGCCACAACACATGAGTAGCAACAACAAAACGGAGAAAGAGAGTCAGGGGAAGAGATGCGTTGTTGTTGTGTGGGCAATGACCTTCCCGGTTACGCAGACCGAGGAAAAGGGTTGACTTTGGGGACCGCAACCCGAGTCTTTGGTCTTAAAGACCTGACCACAAGGCAGCGGTGCGAAGGTCGTTGACATCCAGCTGGCCCATTCGCTTTCTTTGTGTTTTGTTGCAGTCCACAGAGAAGCCGGTGACCAGCAAGGTTGTTCATCCGCCCTACGTTCAATACTCACTTCTGGTTACAGATGTGTGGTCAGTGCCGCTATAGCTTATCACATTGGCTTTGACGCAGCACCGTACGAGCTCTTGTAGTCTTTGATGGAGAACTAGGTGACCAGACTAGAACTCCCCACGCTCTGAGACGCTGCCGCTGATTGCTCATGACTGCTTATTCACAATGCCTTCACAAGGAAGGCATTCCCCAGTCCGCAACCTTTGGACGCACCCGATATCGTACAGCTTCGCCACAGAAGTCTGGAAACTCCTTTCCATTCTTAAGTCTGTCTACTATGACACCCGAGGTCGAGTTGCAGTGTACAGGAAGTTGTCTCCTGAGTTCCGCGTGATAAATGGTTTTTTACTAGGGTTCTTCTCTACCTCCTTTCGCCTCTGAATTTGTGATGTAAATGCTCATGTATGATTCCGTCGCTTTTGGTCCTGTCAGAGTGAAGGTTTATCCGGGTGACAGACCACCAAACCTTGAGTATTTTGACGACGTAGCTGTCCTTGGGTCTTGTGCAATGGTTAAGTGAGCTCCACTGAGTGGACTGATTCGTTGCGTCGCACGCATCGGTATGTACTTTACATCTTCAAAATGCGAAGTATTGTTGGAAGGCTGGACCGATACGCCACCAGTTTTAGCCATTAGCGAACAGCCACTAGCGATGGTGGATCGGTTCACTAACCCTAGTGATTGTGTCCTCTTTGATGGTCACATCACTGAGGTTACTTCACTTAGCAGCAAGTCCCGTGTGACATTTCCAGACTGAATCCTGTATTGCGACGGTGGGATCTCAGGCTATTAGTGAAAAACAGGTGTCCATCGTTATTGTATGGATCAGAGACCTGGTCACTTCGTGGCGACGGCATTAAACACTTGACCCTCTTTGATCACCGGTGCTTACAGAGTATTGCTCGCATTTGAAGTGTACACCAGGTGCGCATTGCTGATGTTCGCCAGTTGTTTTTTGGCAAGAAACCTCACTCGAGTGTTTGCCGAATCTCAACCGCTTACGTTGTCTAAGCGATATTATCCTCCACTGACCGACTTCTTCAAGGTACATTATACGCCGCAGCTGTACCAACTTGGGCGCAACCGCGAGGTACCCAGTCGATGATGTGGCATCAGACCATGGAGAAATTGACTGAAACACTTGATCAAATCAATGCGTTTATGGGGGCCTTGGATGGTCCTCACCAGTGGTTGTAGGCTTTATTAGACATGACGCAGTCGTGTAGTCCATGGCGTTCCTACATTCCGTTTCTTGCACCTTGCTGTCATCTTTCATTCCATCCCCGAGTAGTTTTGCACCGTTCTGTGTTGATTCCCTTTTCTTTTTATTCTATTTGTCACTTAACCTGATTTTCTTACCGTTGTTGTTTTTTGCTTTTCTGGTGACTTGAGTCGTGGCAACTGTATCCAGCGCCCATCGATGCCTGGATCACAAGTGTTTAACTGAACTGGACTGCAATTTCATAGTGTCCTTGGCTTTGGGTATTACTCGGATATCTTCGAAATAATGTCCTCTTCCTTACTTTGATAGGAACAGTGCTGCCGGGGGGTTTTGAGATATACCATTCAGCATCGACTATGGACTGCACTCACGGATAAGCTGTGAAGCATATATATCCCTAGTGTCACACCGCGTATTTGTAGCTGTTCATCGTTTTTTGGATGAGCTGTTCCTGTCAGCATGCCATTTGCCTTTTGTTTTCATGTGCTACGTTCGTTGGCGTGTTCTTCTGCGCTTAGACACCGGATTTCATCACTGTTCATCGACTAACGTCCTCTTTCGGATGTATTGTGTTAGGCGATCCAATTTGCTCAATAAATTTCTTTCTGTTTCACTAACTGTTTCTCTTTTTATCCATCATCCTTACGGTGCTTGAATATAAGAACTTAATTGCACAATCTTGTGGCCACGCAAGGTTTTATGACCAGTCACCGGTATCAGCGCATTTCCTTCAATTTTCTGGACCTTTTAAACTGGCTCACTGAACACTTCGGTTTCCGAGCCGCCCAAACCTAGGTTATCTGCTGGCCTTATTTTTTGTGATTTATTTGCCTGCCAGTATGCACCTGTGACACAGGTTTTTTTGTCTCTTCCTGCAAACATTCGAAGCATGTGTTGTCCCAACGGAACTTTTCAATCAATCTTGCCATGGTATTCGGACACATTCGCCAGATTTATGCTTTTAACTTAGACGATATCTAATTTTCGTTATTTATGGCATCTTTTACTAGCTTTCGAAAAAGTCACTATCGGTTGTTCCATTTTAACCATCTGTAGTGACTCCTTTCCCGCACATACCCTTTCAGACTGAACTTGATATGTTCATACTCGTAGAATTATGAGCTGTTATTGCCCTACCATCGTTTTCTTTCTGTAAATAGACATTCGTTGACCTTACGTATCATCACTTTGAGAAGGTCCTTGTACAATTTATTTTCCCTCCACAATAGCCTCATCTCACCAACCAACTTGCGTTTGAATCGGGGAATAGCAAACAATACATTGAGCACCTACTCCTCATGATGGCTGTCAACTGCTCTGTTTTTCTATGCATCAGCTTCCTGTTTTACGGACTCTCACTAAGTTTCACTGACATGCGGGTACGTCAGTTTGCAACAAATCAGTTTTTCTGTGCACACTTTTCTTGACCCACCTTAGCTTTGCACCTCATTTCGTTTTTTCTCTTTTATAGGTTCTATTTTTACCGTGGCTCCTCTTCGGTTTAGTTTGTCCATCCACAATGAAGGCCACTGTTTTCCCACTATGTGGTTTCACTATCACCGTGCTCGTCTGCCTGTTCACCCAATCCCATTTCATGGCTGCTTATCGCCCTCCGCTGCCCACGTTCACACGTCAATGGTTTCGTCCCTCCTACTCTCCTTGGTTACTTTGGAGTGAGCTCCCTCTAACACTCGCATTGATTCCGGTGCATTTCGTGTTCCTATCACACCATGCATGCGTGTCCCCGCCACACCTACTCCACTGTGCTCTGAGCACCATCGGATACGGCACTTCCGGTTGGGTAGATTGGCTGGCTCACTGTATTAGTATTGTATGTGCTTTTGTTCTTTGGTCCACCTACGGACTCACTTTGTGTTGCCTCGCTTATCTGCTTCTAGCCAGTTCTGCAGCCTCGGCTGTTTTTGGCCTTTACAGTTTCGTGTTATGTTGCTATCTTCTCCTTTGGGTAGATATTAGGACAAATCCCGCAGAACGTTTTCAATTATAAGGTATTCAACACATCGCGACCTGTGCTTTTGGTCCCATCTCGCATTTATTTACTTTTCGTGCAATAATGATGGTGCTAGCGGTGATGATAGTAATATATTGGTTACTGAAGTCAGCTTTTCGACTTTTCTTTCGTTCAACTCATTTGTCTCATTCTATTCAGTTAGAGAGCTGTTTCACTAGTTATGGTTAATTTTACATTTTCCCGCTCTTTCTTTCCATGAAGGTGTATTTGTGGTAAGCAAACTTGGCACCCCTGAGCTGCCAGCATCCAAATGAATTGCCTACTACTGTTAGTCTCTTACTTTTGTCCCATTAATCACTGTACTTGACAAACCTAGCCACTTAGGTTCCCTTCTCGCGATTTCACATCGGGCTCGTCTGTAATCAGACTTGTGATGCGGCCTTTGTATCTCCTTCCCTATCCGTAGGAATCTGTTTCTGAACCACAGTCTACATTACATAAAAGACATGTCACGTTCGACCTCAATGTATGCTCAGTCTGATCGAAACAAATCTTATCCGTGTATCACTAGAGACTTGTGTGCTGCACTAGTATTCTCGTCGACGCACTCTCAACTCACACACAATATCTCTATTCAATGGGTTGTGCATGTGAACCGTGTCCACTCAGGCCAGTTGTTGGTCAGAACACGACTCACTCCGTCACCCGATAATCGATATCTATCCATAGTTTCTGACCACTCCAACAGTGATAACTTGCCGTCACTATGTACTTTTCCCAGCTACTACGCCACGTCACCGACTCCTTTTGTGCTGATTTAGTTGACTTTTTGGGCTACTTCGTTATTTGGCTCGGAACATCCGCTGGAAGTGATCGACGAATTCACTTATCTTGGGAATTGTTGACGATTTGACGGATGAAATCCCCTTACGTGTCTCCAAGGCCCGAGTAGCTTTCCTAGCCTCCGTCACCTTTTGCGTCGTCATGACCACATCCTCGCCCTCAAGGAACGAGTCACAATGTTGCAATACGAGCGGTTCTGCTGCACGGCAGTGAAACTTTTCCCGATCTCAAGATTGATGTGCAGCGGCTATCTGCCTTCTATTACCACTGACCGCAGTGCATTGTTGGTGTTCGATGGCAGCATCACACCAGTAATGAGGAGGCATGTGGATGAGTTTCCAAATCTGATGAATTCCGCTGACTGATTGACAACATCATTCCACTGCGGAGGCTGTGCTCATTTAGGCATGTGCTTCGCATGCCTACTCAGCTGCTACCACGGCGTGCCCTATCTGCGAGCGCAGGTGTGGGCTGGAAATGACGACAGGAGGCCAGTGTAAAACCTGAATCCAATGCGTTATGATGCAAATGTCAATCCTGCCTGCTACTGGACCTTCCCGACTCCGTGGTTTGGAACCAAAGGATCGCGAGCACGTCCGGTTGCAAACGATACTGGATATGACCAATAACCGTACGCAGTGGCGCACTTGTTGTAAGACTTCTACTCTAACTGTCGTTTTCCATTCCAATGTACTGCTTTTTCACTCTTAAGTGTTGTGGCATTTACCCCACTGTATTGTTATTAATGCGTATATGTTGCATTCATGATGCTTCTTCACCGCAGTTGGGCTAAACCAACTTACACTTAAACTAGGTCTTTTTAGGCTGGATAAATTTCATTCCAATTTATTTGATTTGTTCTGCCTATCGGAATCATCTCCTATTAACTTTCCACGTTGCTTACGGTAATTGTGCTTATCTTCGTCAACTTTATTGCGTTTGTGGCATTTTCTGAGTCACTTCTGGACATTTTGTACTTATCGCGCATTTGTTGCTAACCAGCGTACTTCATATGTTAATTTAGGGAAGAGTTATGTCTGCATAGTTTGTTACTGTCATTTCAAGTGATTGGCTGTTGTTTGACATCCCAGCTGTGGCTGCGCTTGCTGTGCATGTTGACAAGGTGTCTACCTGTCTATTACCCACTACCTCGTCCATACTGGCTCCAGGAGACAGTTGGTCGTTGCTAGAGGGGACGAGGTGCACGGTCCTTGTGGCCGTGTGGCTTTGTGTGCGCTTGATTCTCCAAATACAGCGCGCTTGTGTTTGCCTGTGAAGGAGTGTGGGCCGGCTCCGTTGATGAAACGTGGCTCCCATCCACATGCCTCCCGGTCTTATTCCTTCGGGTTTACACTGGATGTGGTGTATGTGGTTGGAGTTGTTGGTGGTGCAGCGCAAGCCACCCATGGTCCCTCTGTAGGCGCAGGCGTCCTGTGGCAGGCAAATCCGAAACCGGATGCCTCCAACCATATATATATATATATATATATATATATATATATATATATATATATATATATATATATATATATATATATATATATATATATATACAAAAGTGGTTCATTTCAACTCACAGAGTACAATCACGTGAAAGTATACATGCTAGAAATCGATAGTATTGTTGAGATACTTGCAAAAAACAATCGCAACTTCATCCAGTCAAGGATTATATATATATATATATATATATATATATATATATATATATATATATATATAATACTTGACTGGATGAAGTTGCGATCGTTTTTTGCAAGTATCTCAACAATACTATCGATTTCTAGCATGTATACTTTCATGTGATTGTACTCTGTGAGTTGAAATGAACCACTTTTGTAGACGTTCACAGTGCCTACTATCTTGCAGTCCCATTTGTCAAGTTTTACCTTAACCTCTACTCTTAATGATCTTTCTACTAGAGTCTAGATGGCCCACAACTCACAACACAGCTTGTAACGGATAGCCACACAATTCATTCATTTCTGCTCTTGTGCTACTCCTGAGCTTGAGATGCATGGCTATTTTTATCAATGCAGCGCTTCTCGTGTGCTTCGGCGTGGCTTAACGTTTGCGGCTGAGTAGCTTGCGCTTCACTGAACTCGAATGATGGGGTCAGGTGATTTAGTCCGATTGTGCTACATAGCCTATGAATGAGAACTGGATGGAAATTTGTCCTCGGCTGCAGGTTTGTTTGTGCATCTCCGTTGGCTTATCGTGTTTTGTTCTGTGTGAATACCGAATACTATCTGGGTGAAGTGAGAGGAAACATAATCTTCCCAATTCCATTGAAATTCAGTGGGAAACGTCAAAAACAGTCTTATATCAATAAGTCAATTGTTTACGTACCTTTTTGATAGTATACCCCCACATAAATAAAGGGATCGCAAATGCGCGGTGCCGGAATCAGCAGAAAAAATGTACTCTGAATCAGATGTTTGTGGAATGTGCATTCAGCAATGTTTAGATTACGGCGCTACTTTTACCTTGACTCTGTGTTCTGACAGTCTGTTTCCAACCCTTCAATCTTCGCCGTCTAAAGCAACAAAAGTTAACTGCTCGTTGAAAATCTAGTGTCATACGTTTATTTTAGCGTCAGCTTGTATTGCATAGTGCGCACACGTGTCGGAGCGACCTATGAATTGGGAACTCAACGAGGTGTAAGCTAAATCCCAGTAAAGTCGATTCGTAACCCACCGTAGGATATCGTGCGCAATTTCACTCACACTGGTCATTGTACGACGCACTCAAGCTCCTGAGTCCACATCTTTTTTCTTATTGTATTCTAGTGGTCCATGAATTCAGTATTTTCACACGGATTTGATGCCTTGTCATGTCAAATATATTTTATAGAATTGACTTTCCCTTTATTCTGACATCCACCTGCTGGTCGTGGGTTGCGTGCGCTTTTCTTCTGATTAATTATATTTGTAAATATTTTGCCACCATTTTGTGCGGTGTTACTTACATGATATAAACCTATGCGAATTCCTCTTTTTCTCTAGGTGTATGGCCACTATTTCGTATCCATTCTTCGTTTTTTTCATGATTTGCTAGAGACATCCGCTCTTTTGCATACCCACTTTATTTCACCAAAACTATACCTAGTTTTATGTATCATCGCAACATTTCCGTCTTTTCATTACTTTTATCCGCTGGTACACCTCAAGGACTTCTTTGGGAATTACTTTGAAAAACCTAAACATTTTGTCCACTATACGAATAAGTAGTACGGAAGGGTCAAATTCGTAGTTGGTCTGTGTCTCACACTGTTGAGAAATATACCATTTTTTCCTTTTTTTTATCCGTCCCGGTTTCCTTCATTTTAGCACAATAATACTGCTGAACTTCATGGATCATTTTATGAGCGGTTGTTTCAGATGGATCTCTCTTTCCCCTAATTTGCACTTGAATACGGCATCCGGCCTTCGCCCATTATTCTTGGGACCTTCCTCCTTGACAAGTTTTGCTACTTTAGCCACAGTACCACTAACTTCCACCGGATCCACTCCATCTGGTTGCTTGTATCAGGAAGCCAGCAATCTACTTCATCCAAAATTTTTCCTAACAGCCGTTCTGGAGCGACTACGATCGTGGCGTGATTTCATTAAATCACCATCCACTCCTTCGGATGATTTAAATCCCATGTTTGAGTTGTTCTCGAGACCAGGTCATATGGATCAAACCCACACAGATTACGTGGTACGTCTTCCATCACTGTAATGTTTCACATTCACGTACCTCCGTTTAACACTCCAACGGGCTTTATTTTTGCATACAACCAATGGTATCCACTATTTCAACCATCTTTTAGTTCTGCGTCGCTTCACACTTCGGTGCTCTTTTTTCCTTAATCTCTGTCTGAACTATTTCTATCACCTTACTCCTTTGGCACCCTTCTCCTCGTATGCGTCATATAATCGTAACAAGACTGGGCCGTATCGTGTTGCGATGATTCGCGTATCTCCGTGATTCATTGTGTCATCAGGTTAACACCTGGTGGGACCACACGTGCTAACGAATGATGCAAATTTACCTCGAAATGATTTTAAACACTGATAGCTTGGGTTGGTTGTTCATCTGTTGTTTGGTTCGCCGGGCTTGGTTATATTTCTGCATACGTTTCGCCACCACACGGGGTGGTGCCGTCAATGCGGTTATGCACCTTTGGCAATCTTGTCTATCGAATCGTCATTCCGTGATGGACGGTCAGGTGACTTTTGAAAATCTCACCTTCAACTCGTCCCATGATCTTTGCCTGTTTTCTCTGAGATCCCCAGTGTCTGGCTTGATCACTGATGGCATTCAGTTTACCATGTACTTGGAAACAGTAGACAGGCTCCCACTCTTTTATGTAATTGTAACCAGAACAATGGATGGTGAATTTCAAACATCCGTCCACCGGAAAGGCCCACATACGGACCGAATTTTAAGCTTTAGCAGCAACCACCCAAAGCGCTACAAGAGAAGCTGTTTCAAAAAATTAAAACACATTTTAGTACTGCGGAAGCAAAACAAGAGGATGCGAAACACTGAAGTAACCGTTACGTACAGAGTCTCCTGTGGTAAAAATTGGACATCGCGTTGTCGGACGAACGTACACATGATGCATAACTGTTGTCAGGCTTTCGTTTATTCTCGCTGCTCGCAAAGACAGACCTTAGCGAATGACTACGTCAGTAACCAGCTCAAAGATCGCTTAAAATAGCGCGAACGCTATTGTGACACAGAGAAAGCCGATTATTATACTTCCGGAGCAAGAAAGCACACCTCACTTTATAAATGTGAACACTAAAAAGCGGCATAACTCGTTAAAGACAATCTTTTAATGTGCCTGAGTCGAAAGCAAGCTTAATCATGGGCTAGTTATCGGACAATCTGCAACAAAAGACGTGCTTCGCTTCGTTAAGGATAAATATTTATTTATATGTCAGCAAATGGGAATCCCACATAAACCGGCCAAACTGATTCGCATTGTCCGACACGCTAACTCAGCTCTCTACTGGGAACCAAGATTACTTCAATTGGCACTTCAGTCTGCAGACGAGGTGGAGAAAGTTCATTTGTCAGCTCACCATTTCCGTGATTCGGAACACAGGGTGAGCAGTGCTGAGGTCTGCCAGTTGGTTTTTTTCAAGAAACCCTCTGGTACCTCACTTCAGTGTCTGTTGAAGTTAAATCGCTAACGTTGGTTTGATCATGTACTCCGTACACCAGTTAACCGCTTTCCTCGGCGAGCATTATACGTCGTCGCTGCACCAAGTTGGGCGAAATCACGAGGTGTTCAATCGATGACGTGGCATAGGGGTATGAAGAAATTGACCGAGAGCCTTGGTCAGGCAGGTGGGTGGGGGCCTCGTGCTAGTCAAAACCAATGGTTAGAGACTCTCTCGGACGTGGCGCATTGTCATTCAGTGCTGTCCTTGCATTCGTTCTCTTGCGCTTAACTGTTCATACTTCAATGCGATTAGCTTCATGCACCTCGTTCTTGCTTCCATTCTGCTAATACCATATTTAAGTCTAACCGCATTTACTCATCATTGCTCCTTATTGCCAATCTGGCGACACGAGTCGTGGTAATTGCATCCACGGCACTTTGGTGCTCGGATCATGATTTATCAACTACACTGTATGGAACTGAAACCGGGTACTCTTTAGATATCGTAGGTTATTTACGAAAGAGAAGTTCCAGATAGAACTTGGCTCACTTAACAGGAAAGCAAATTACTACCAAGTCGTTATTATTCCTAATGTGGAAGGTCTAGTTGAAAGTGGTTCTTTTTTCCCATGGTGCTTCTTTGGAAGCTAGTTTTCAGTCTCTCGGCGTGCTCACCATAACTGTGTTTTAACATTACCTTTTATACAAATATGGGCACATCGAAAACTTATTACTCAGATGTGCTGCACTTATGCATCACGTGTACGTTCGTCCGACAACGCGATGTCCAATTTTTACCACAGTAGATCCTGTACGTAACGGTTACTACAGTGCTACGGCTAAACATCGGTCAGTACAAAGCCCATGGGCATTCAGTTTTCCACGAAACTTTGACCTCAAAGACAGACCAGGATGTATCGATCGTTCACATGTGAATAATCTGCTCCTCGTCGCTGAGAAACATGCAGCGCCTTGGAATTTGTGGTAGACACACGCCGCGATTGTGTGCGTCGGCGCATCGTGTGAGATCCGATTGGATATCCGGACTGTCGTTAGAATTTCTCAGGGCGCGTAATGTGCGGCAATTTACGGTGCGTCAATGAAAATCGGTAGACATTTCCCGAACTGGCTGTACAACTAGTGTTACCAGGTATGACATGGCTGAACTTGTTTACATAAAGTTCAAACATTGTCAACCTATGGATGAATGTATCTCCATGTACGGAGCCAAATTCCCAATACGCACCTCTCCGGATGAATGTGTAAATAGAACAGGTTTGGCGCTTTGGTCAACGAATCAAGATTGAAGCCTATAGCACGCATGTTAGACAGTCTTGCATGCCTCTTACTAAGTCGTTTCTGAAGTTTGTCGCCACGTTCGGTTGAAGGAAGTCTAGAGTTGCCGAACACCAACCTTATAGTGCCAAACTTTTGCGGCTATCTGATACAAACCGCATTGGCAGATCTCCCTTAGTTTTGATATGGATCGGGTGTGATATTTTCACATCTCCGTGGTCAAGCAGTATCTCCTGATCTATTTTATCTGTGCACCAATTGTCGACAGTTCCGAGTGCAATTGTTTTAAACGAAAGCTTGCTGTTGCCGTCTTCTTCCACTTTCTCCTGAGCGCATAGATGTTCTTACCCATGTGTTCACCTACATCTACCATTCCGCATCCATATTTCCAGCGGGTACGTTGTGCCTAAAGATATTAACGTGCGCATTTTGGCGTTTCATAGAGCGGCGTAATTTTTTACGACTTATGGAGAGTTTTCCTGCCACATGTGGTATACCTAGCTGGATCAACCTGTTTCAGAATTTTGATTATTCGTGGTAAGATGTTCCGACTATTTTTATGGCGATCTCATTGTACTGTTGGTACCTTCTCGCCATCTGCAGTGCTCCCTGCGTGTGTTAGTTGTGTTGACTATTGCACCACTTTAGGTATATGGAATCTTTGGACAGAGAATACAAAACGCACCGCATGCAATCTATTTTTGTTGCTTTCATTGTTGCATAACTAAGTGTTTTACTTCTAATGCTCTGTTCTTTCGCCTCTTAATATATAATTGTCGCACCGTAATTGGACTTTGATGTGATGCGATTGTTTACGTGCTTGGGTGGACCATTGGAATTTACTTGGTAGTATTCTCGGTTAAATAGGGGCCTATTCCTGCCAGTTTGTTAAACGGTCAAAATTTAGGCAGGTTCTGCCTCTTGTTCATTGTATGTTAGCGTTAGGAGGACACCGATTTTGATGGTAGTGGCCTATCTTGGGGACCGTAACCATATTCCTGCTGAAATCGCTTAAACTTTCAAGCCAAAAGCTTTGAATAATCCCTTTTAGCTTCGTGGACTCCGGCAGTATCCCAGAGCTTACACAACGTACACATGAATAATTCACCAAATTCAAACATTTTCTCGCGTCAGCTGTCACGTAGCTTCGACATAACCACCTTATTTACCATTTCCACCATAGTTGATAATCAATAACGCGATATCTTTATCTGGTACTCCCATCCCGATCCAGTCTGCTGATGTTCGTTCCGTAGTCTTCAACACAACTGACAGCATCTACCGTTGTGCTGAGATCTTACTGCCTGCATTTATGCCACCTCCATATACAACATTCCCTTATCCTCGAACGCCTCTACTCTCTCCAATTTCCTTGTCCATTTTTACTGTAGTCTTGCTGAGCAACTCACAGCCTATAATACATTTATCTGCACACTTGTCACTTTGCGTATTGACATATGCTGTTTCCGCGAGGTTAGGATCCGCAGATCTCTCTAGATATCCAATTGACTCGTACATACCTCACTTCGTTACATCTTTGCTGTTGCACTACTTAAATTGGATTGAGTGTCACTTTTGATCCAGGGCAGAGTCATCTCTGACTGATCCGATTTCTGTGAACAGCCCTTTGTGTAAAACATGATTGAAACACACGTGTCCTTACCATGACAGCCTGTGTTTTGTTACTGCTCATGCCTCGACTGATTACAGCTCTTTTACTGTAGTGAATTTTCTCCCACAAACTTAGCGTACGTCTGAATTTAGCTGTCAGGTCAGTTATAATCCGTGTGTAGCCCTAATTAGGTCGGAAGTTCGGGATTCGTCCCAATCGCACAGGCACAAGTGGATGGATTCACTTTGGCAGCTGTGTCACCCCTGGTAGTCACATCACTGAGGTTACTTCGCGTAACAGCAGGGCCCGAGTGCCATTTCCAGATGTGCAATCCTCTTTTGTGACGGTGGGATATCAGCCTATCAATGAAAGGCAGGGTGTATAATGCTGCAACAAGACTGTTGTTACTGTATGAATCAGAGACTTGGCCAGTTCGCATTTAAGGTATTAAACGTTTACTAGTGTTTTATTACTGGTGCCTGCAGAGTGTTGTTCGCATTTGATTGAAACTTTGGGGGGAGTGATGCTGTAATGCACCAGTTGGTTCCTCACTCGAGTGTTTACGTTGGATAGGTCATTTTTTCCGGATGCCAATTGACCGGCTTTTTCGGCATGCACTATACGCCGTGTGTGCAC